TTTCTCCACCGAAAATTCCATGCGCTCATACACGAGTACCATGTGTGTCTGGGCGCTGAATTTGAAATAATCTTCAAATTGTTCATGGACAGACGGAAGTTACTTAAAATTATAGCTTCCTTGCTTTCCCGATCCCTGATATAACAATCTTCACGTCAAAATTTTTACATGGTCATAAATAAGATTCGAGCGCACTAGACAGCTGAATTTGAAAGCTTTTGGTCGTACGTGAGTAGGGGAACATCCCTCTAAAGTTTCAGATTTCTTCTTTCTTGAATTAGCAATCTTTCCGCCAAAACTTTCACGAGACGTGGGTATGCGTAATAGTATACTAAGTTCCTGAAGTCTCACTGGGGAGCACACTGGCAAAATTAAAGCATTAAAGCTTGCGTCCTCGCTAATTAAAAATACCCGGATAAATCTGTTTGAAGCGCTTTGGCAATGGACGGCAGAAACGCATAAAAACAAGGAAGACTTCGTGCACAGCAACTACGGCAAAAGACATAGGGAAAACAAGCCTTCGTAAGCCTTTCTGATTTGTCAGTATCTCGAAAAATTGTCGCAAAGAACGATCCTGTTCAAGCAGATCTGGCGTGATTGACGACTTGAAATCGGTTATGCGGAATGTATGGGAATATTCCCGGCACTCTACAATTTCTATTGTAGCCGTTACACCATCACCGAGGATCTTCCTCAGCTCCTCGGAAGCATTTGATCTGATTATAATCCGCGACACCTGCAAGGTTTACAAGATACAAGTAAATCTTCAATAAGTAAATAGCCCCCTGCTATTCTTATTTCCCCTTTATCATTTCTCCCAACTGTTTAAATAACGTATCACAACAATCACATACAACAAAAACTTTCAATCCTTTAAAGATCACGGCTTTATTATCCTCGGTTCGCCCTTTATCTCAGCCATGCAATCCTGAACAGTTCCCGGCTGTCAATTTAATGCCAAATGAGTAGAATTACGACTCACAATGCCCATCTGTTATCTCTTATTCCCACCATAAGATTCCCACTCCTAGTTTTATTCCCCAAATTACATAATTTTGATGCATACCTCCTCAATCGGCAGTGGCTGGTTCGTGAAAAGAGTGCTTGCCGAATCATAAGCGTATGCGAAATCCCGTATCTGCCGAAATTTTCGTAAAGCAAAGTGTAGCAAAGCGATACACTTTGCAGCTCTGTGACTACTGAAATAAATACACGGCTATAATTTTATAAATCGGCTAAAGAATCACGGTTAACAAACATAATGAAAAGTTTTAACTCACTCCTGCTTCCCGCTGCACAAATCAATCGTCTTTTTGCTTCGTTCGCCCCTGCCGAAAGTCGCGACAACGCGCACACTGTACCGATAAACAGTACGGTCTTCCAGCATGAGGGGAGTAAAATTTGTTGTTACGACAACACTCTTCTGAATTTCCGCAGGCGCTAGACGTGGCGCCATCGTACATGCTGGTCGCGATTCGTCATACAGCGGCCTGCAAACCAAATGCTTATCCAATCTCGAAAGGCACTGCTGATATGAAAAAGAACTCCGTTTAAAAAAAATCCCAGATCATCCAAAGGCCACAGAGACAAACAGCAAAATCATTCTCCTTTTCCTATCTGCCAAAGAATCACCTAATTTAGCTGAGTTTGCAGAACCTAAGAAAATGCTCTGTGAA